CTCCCAGTGCATCTTCTCCTTCTGTAAGTTAAAGGGATTAGGGATTTAGAGCATTTGTTAAGCACTCACTGTTTGCAAAGCTGTGCTGGAGATAGTCAAGGTAGTCCTTGTGTTCTGCTTACATTCTAATAAGGAAGGGAACCTGAAAAGGGGGGTGGGCTGGGTGGGCAGCTTATCCCCGCAGGCTCTGGTGTGGAAGGCTGGCCATCTGGAAGGGAAAGAAGGCTGTCTGGCCCTGGGCCCCTCCCTGACATGGGGGCCCATCCCTGGAGTGCTCTCCCTCCTCACCTCCTCCTCCGGGCTTCCTTCAAGTCCCAGCTAAAATCCCACCTTCTACAGGAATCCTTTCTTGGTCCTCCTTAATTTCTCCTTCCCTCTCGCTATCAACGCCAGTTTATCCTGTATCTGTCTTGTTTGTACCTCCCTGTTTGTGTGTTGTGTGTCCCATTCGACGGCAGCTCCTAGAGGACAGAGACAGTCCTTGCCTTTCTTTGTATCCCCAGTGTTTAGCACAGTGCCTGGCACATCGTAGGTGCTTAATAAATGTTTATTAACTGACTCATAGAGGGTTGTTGTTGTTCAGTCATTTCAGTCGTGACTTTGTGACCTCACTTGGGATTTTCTTGGCAGAGTTACTGGAGCGGTTTGCCCTTTCCTTCTCCAGCTCATTTTACAGATGAGGAAGCTGAGGCCCACAGGGTGAAGTGACTTGCCCAGGGTCACACAGCTAGTAAGTGTCTGAGGCTGTAGTTGAACTCAAGGAGATGAGTCTTGCTGACTCCAGGGCCAGCATTATCTACTATGCTACCTAGTTGACCTAAAACAAACTTACCAATGGAAAAAGACATGTCACAGCAGAGGGAATCTCTGTGGGGAGACGGGTTAAGCCTTGAGAGTAAGTCAGGGGCAGGGGCAGGAGGAGAATGAAGCAAAGCCAACCAGGTTCCGTCCCCAAAATGGAGGCCCAGGCACGAGCTCGCCGATGGGAGAGGCAGTTGATGTGATGGAGGCGTATTCCAAGATGAGGAAGGCCAGAGCTTCAGAGGCAGAGGTCTGGAAATGAATCCAATCCGCTCACTTTTCAAATTAATAAATCAAACCCCAGGAAAAGGGACTTCCCTAACGTTGGCGCGTAAACGGTGTCAAAAGTAGGATTTGAACTCGGCTTCTCTGCGTCCAGCCTGATTGCTTTGGCCCTCCCCACATGTCCTTCGTACTGTCTTTTTATAACATTCCTCTCTGCAGGTCACGATGGTAACAGGCCCAGCCTATTTATACCCACTCCAGGTCTCCTCCATTGTCCTCTGGGTCACTGGCAATGGTGCCTCTCCGTCATCGTCATGTCCCATGATTCACAGCCGTGTGGGGCCTGCTCACAGGGGAGGAATGTTGGTGTTAAAAGCATGGGCTTTTGCTTTCTGAGAGCAGCTTGGGGTTACTGAAAGCATCACGTGCTTTCCCAGCTCAGATCTGGTCTCCCTCTCCCCCTGGCTTCTCTTCTGGGCCTTTCTCTTCATCATAGACTTAGAGCTGTGGGAGACCTTAGACAGCACCCACTCCCATTTCACAGAGGAGGATCCTTGAGGTCCAGAGGATATATGTGGTTTATCTGCAGTCACACAGGCAGGATGTATCAGAGCGGGGATTTGAACCCAGGGCCTCTGTCTCCAAATGCATTGCCCTTTCTGCTGTGCTCTGCTACCTCCCTTCTCTGTCTTTTAGTCTCTGCCCAAGCTAGATGTGTTGATGGTGTAACTTATAGGGACAATAATTTTAGAACCAGTAGGATGTCAAATGTCAAGAAGTCATCTGTCCAACTTCATGTCACCATCTGAGCAATATTCGTTTTTTTCATCTGTTATTATAATAATAATCCTAAGGCACATTTATAATGTGGATTAAAGTTTGCAGAATGTTTTTATTTATACCAGCACATCCTCCCCTCCTCATAAATAGATTTAACCCATCGTGTAGCCCAAATACCATCACTTTGCAATGGACGACAATGGTTCTGGCTGCACACTTGTGATCTCATTACCAAAGGAACCTTCTTGAGCTGTGCCATCTTCAAGTGACATTCAGTTAACAATCAAACCTGTAACTAGTCTATGGCAAATGGGGCTTTGTCCCAGGGCACCGACATTCAAGGAGTATTCCTAAACTTTAGCTTCCTAGTTTTCCTGACTTCAAGTCACACCTTCCATAAGAAGCTTTTCCTGTTCCTGTGCCTTCCTTCTGGGATCATATATACACAGATGTTGCATGATGTATGTTGTCTACCATTAGACTGTGAGGTCCTTGAGAGGCAGGGACCATTTTTTTGCATTCTTTGTATCCCCAATGCTTGGCACACAGTAAGCACTTAATAAATGTGTGGGGGCTGTAGAGACATGGGGTACAACCACATCTGGCTACTACCTTCAGGATCCTATTGCCTACAATGTGCCAAGAAATGTGCTAAGTGTTTTATAATTATTATTCCATTTGATCCTCAAAACAACCCTGGGAGATAGGTATTATTATTATTATTATTGTTGTTGTTGTTGTTATCATCATCATCATCATTATTCTGCTCGTTTTACAGTTGAGGAAACTGAGGCAAATAGAGGTTGATTAATTTGCCCAGCATCACATAACTAGTAAGTGTTTGAGGCAAGATTTGAACTCAGATCTTGACTGTGGGCCCAGTGCTCCATCCACTCAACTATCTAGCTGTCCCTAATATATCAACAAAAACGCAAGGCTTCTGTGAAGAGAGTCTCAAGCCAATGGGGGGAAAAATGGTGTCTAGGGGGCCATTCTAAAAGGCTGAAGAGGGTCCAGTTGAGTTGGATTTGACTAGTTACAAGACACGAGTCACACAACAGATCTCAGACAGAGAAGAGGAAACCAACCAGACAATCCCTGCCATGGAGGAAAGAGATGGGCTCTGTTAGTAAGCAGTCATTTTTTAGGACAATGTCCCTGGGAACACTCTCAGACTTGCTGAGCAGGAGCCCATCGGTGTGCATAGCTGAAGGAGGTTCCTTTGGTAATGAGATCACAGGTATCTAGCCAAAATCATTGTTGTCCATTGCAAAGTGATGGTATTTGTACTACATGATGGGTTAAATCTATTTATGAGGAAGGGAGGATGTGCTGGTATAAATAAAAACATTTTGCAAGCTTTAATCCACATTATAAATGCACCTTAGGATTATTCTTATAAAACAGATGAAAAAATGAATATTGCTCAGACGGTGACATGAAGTTGGACAAATGACTTATTGATATCTGATATCCTACTGGTTCTAAAATTATTGTCCCTGTAAGTTATATATATATTTAATGTCACATTAAAGGGGTTTTATGGATCTGAGGAAGTAATTGAGGGTGTTTTTCCTGGAAAAAAGAAGGTTTGGGTATGTGTGCTGGGGGAGGGGAGAATGACCGAAGAATGGTCCTCAATAACTTGAAGAATGAAAGAGGGTGTCTGCTTCTTCTATTTAGGCCCAGAAGTCAGAAACAGGATCAAAGGGATGAAAGTTGAATGGAATAAAATTTAGTCATATTAGGGGAATTCAGAAGAGGGATGGGCTGCCTCAAGAGGCAATGGTTTCCTCCTCAATGTGGGTCTTCAAGAGAAGACTTCTGAAGAGATTTCTTGCTCAGCTACAGGTTGGACTAAATTTCTTCCATGGTCTCTGCCCACTCTTGACATTCAGTGGTTATGAGCTGGGCGCCGAGACCCAGCAGTTTCCCCCCAACCCCACTGACAAACTGAGAATGAATTAGCGAAGAGCTTTGAGGCAAAATCCAACTTGAAAGGCATTTGGACAGACATAAAGGTCACATCCTGTCTTTGGGCCAGTGCCCATCTGGTCCTCACTGCTGGCTGCCTAGACTATAAGGTGACTGAGTGTTCAATCAGACCATCTCATAGTGTGGTATCCACTGGCTGGACTAGGTGTGCTGGGAGGCCTACCCTCTCTTAAAAGCACATGCTCTGTTAGCCAAGTAAACTCTGACCTTCCAAGGCTAGACTTTTGGGTCCTTATATGGACATCATGGTATAGTAGAGTCACACAATTTGGTCTTGACTTTCAGTACAACCACTCATTGGCTTGGAATGCCAAGCAATTAATTTCCTTATCTATAAAATGAGTAGTTTAGACTCACTGAGCTGTAAGGTCCCTGCCAGCTCTAAATCTATGTTCCCATAATTAAATGCTTTTTTTTCCAAGTTAGATTTTTGATATTTTTTGTTTTTGCTTATCTTCCATAACCCTTCCCTCTCACAACTATGTCCCCTTCCCTCTCAGTCATCTCTTATAACAAATAATTTTTTTTAAATAAAAAAGTATGAGGAGAAGACAAATTCAGCAAAACCTGTCATTAAAAACCTAATCTTGCCTCAAACTATTGCAATGTTCTGCCCCACCCCTGTCACCTATACAAAGTGTGTAGGTATGCATGGGTGCTGGGATCTTCTTATATCTTCAATTTGGGGACAAGTTTGCTCTGTATAAATTGACTGTTTTGGACTCTTTCCATTTATGATGTTGTGATTATGATGATTGTTTTTCTGCCTACTTCCTTTATTTTATATCAGTTCATATGAGTCTTCCCATGCTTCTCTGAATTCATCATTTTCATTGTTTCTTCCCATGTAGTAGTATTCTCTGACAGTCATGAGCCACAATTTTTTTTTTTTTGGGTCGAAGACCTCCATGGGCTGTATGTATACACACACATAGATAGAAAGATTCATAGATTAGATATAGACATATATAGGTCTGTGTGTGTGTGTGCATGCATGTATATCCACTGTCCTTCTTTCCCTTTCTCTCCCCTAGATTGTAAGCACCTTGAGGGCTGAGACTGTGGGTAGTACTGCGTAGAGAACTGTATCTCATTTTGTCTTTTCTCCCCCATGTCTAGCATGGCACCCTACAAGAAGCAAGGTCTTGATGAATGATTGCTACATAGAAACTGACCGTCTTCTTTGCTTTGTGTTCCAGAGAGCATACTGTGGCCAGTGCAGCGAAAGGATATGGGGTCTCGGAAGGCAAGGCTACAAGTGTATCAACTGCAAATTACTGGTCCATAAACGTTGTCATATACTTGTACCACTGACCTGCAAAAGGCATATGGTAAGTAAGGACACAAGTCGAGGGAGAGGGCTCCAGCGTTGCAATGCCTGTGGCTTGTGGTGCCAGAATGAGTTCAGGGTTGGGCTCATTGGAACATATTTGAGAGAGGTGGCCTGGTGTAATCTGTGAAGTGCTGGGCAGTCATAAGGTTCTGGGTTTGAATCCTGTTTCAGACAATTCACTTGCGCAAGTGATTCACCTCTCTGAGACTTGGTTTTGTCTTATGTCCTATTGGGATAATAATGGCAACTACCCCAAAAGTAATTTAATCTGCTAATTATAATATATATTATAATTTTCTTTACAATTAAAGAACTTGAGGTCCTTTGGACCATTGTCAAGAATTTAGAGGTTCACAGATCACTAAATGGGAATTGCCGTAGTCCCTACTGCCTGTCTAATGGTAGTGATGATGGTGGCTGACTTTTTAATCGTCCTTCCAGGTTTACATGCCTATCACCATTACTGGCTGAGATGTTCTTTTCTTTGTTTTATAGGAGGAGGAAAATGGGGCTCAGAGTGGTTAAGTGATTTGCTGAGGGTCACCCAGCTAGTACGTATCTGAAGCAGAATCAAACCAGGGGCTTCCTGGTGCCCGCTGCTTTTGTACTCTCATACCAGCGGGCTTTTTTTGGGGGGGGGTGACGCAATTGGGGTTAAGTGACTTGCCCGGGGCCACACAGCTAGTAAGTGTCAAGTGTTTGGTCTGAGGCCGGATTTGAACTCAGGTCCTCCTGACTCCAGGGCAGGTGCTCTTTCCACTGCACCACCTGGCTGGCCCCACCAGTGGGCATTTCTATAACTCTTCATAGTAGTTCACACATCTCAGGTCAGGGCTATAAAATCATGATGTCCAATTTAGAGATGAGGAGACTGATGCCAGGGATCAGAACTTGGGTCTTCCTGACTCTTATGCCCTCCACCCTATTCATTGACTTCTATGAACATGTGACCTCTTTTGTAGGGAAATTAGGTTGAATTCTTCAGCCTTTCCATCATGGAACAGTTCTTGGCATGATATGGGTGGGAAGCTGCTATGGTAGCAGGTAGCAGGCCATGGCTCCTACCACCACCATCTTTGTTCTCCGGTCTGGAATTAGTCCCATTTTGAAGATGAGGAAGATGAGAGGTTCTAGGAGATGAAGTGTCTTATTGGGTTTAAAGTCCTAAGTTCAAATTCTGTTTCTGGCACATACTTATCTGGGTAATCATGATAGTAGGAAAGTCACTTTCTGACTGAGCCTTAGTGTCTTCATCGCTGAATTGGACATAATAATGCCGTGGGACCTAGCTCTCACGTGAGGCTCCCACGTGCCAATCCACATGAAGAGCTTCAATGCTCATTGCTCCAGGAAATCCCCATCGTCTTAACTTGATGAATTTGGGTCTCCTTTTATTAAAATGCAATTAAGAGTCCATTCTTCAGTGGCTGACAATGACTGACCTTCTCTTGGACAAGTGTCAGTATCATTAGAGCCAGATGGGAGACTATCTAGTCTGACCTCATTTTACAGAGGTGGAAACTGAGGCCCCCAGACAGAAAATGGCAGGTCCAAGTTTGAGAACCATGCAGGTGACCCAGCCAGAATTCCAACCCATCACGTTCAACTCTAGATCCAGCATCCAGCTCAGCCGCATTTCAGCTTCTTGGCACCACTGTACGTTCCAATAGGCTTTGGAGACATGGCGCCTGTTGCCAACTGGCCTCATTCAAGTGGCATAATAAGAATGAATAAGCAAGATCTTTAATTGAATTTGAATTTTTATCTTCTCCATATGCCTCCTGGGTTTCATTAAAGTATAATTAATGATCAGGAGAAGAGTTAGGGTTTGGTTTGTTTTTAATTTGTTTTCGATGTCGCACCGTGAAGACACCAGAAGGAGCTTAGGAGGGAATGAAAGCTGCGTCAAAGTGTGTGAGCGGACCATGCCTCCTCCTCTTCCTCTTCTTCTTCTCCTTTTTTTTAGGGGGTGGGGTGGGGGAGGTAGTCAGGATTAAGTGATTTGCCCGGGTCAAATAGCTAGTAAGTGTCTGAGGTTGGATTTGAATTCAGGTCCTCCACATTCCAGGGCCTGTGTTCTGCCCCTCGCTTCTACTGGACTGGCATGTCCACCTTTCTCTGGGGGTCTTCAAGATCATCATAACGTTGGACATTTTGATTTCCAATTCCCAAAGTACTTTATGTGCATTATCTCATGAGAGCTTCACCACAGCTCTTAGAGAAAGATGGTGTTATGTCCATTTTACAGATTAGGAAACCAGGTCTCAGAGAAGTGAAATGACTAGCTTAGAAGTGTCAGAGTTGAGATTCAAACCCATGCCTTTCTGACTCCTGGTTGATCCTTCTAACTATTGTACCTTGATGATATGAGAAAAGAAATGAATTCACATTGCAGAAGAAAGATGTGGTAACCCAAGAATGCTGACTCAGGAGTCTAAGGTCTGGGTTCAGATTCTACCCCGACACTTACTACCTCTGTGACCTTGGGCAAGTCACCTAACTTCCTTCGGCCTCAGTTTCCTCTTGGTAAAATGAGTCAGTTAGCCTAGATGGCTTGTGAGGTCCCTTCCTTCTCTACGTCTTTGAGCCAATGATAACTTTATGACTTTGGTCAAATCACTTAATCTCCTTTGGCCTCAGTTTCCTTGTGTATAAAATGATGATGTTGCATTTGATGACCTTTTTGAGGTTCCTTTTAGGTGTAGATCTTTGAGGCAGTGATAATACTGAATTTCACCTGACTAGATCTAGCTTAGTGTTCTAGGCTGTTTTTTTGGTGGGTGGATTTTTCAGGCCTGGAGGAATAAAGAGGGGTCATCCAGTGCATATGAGGGAGCAAAGACTTTGGGGCTGTAAAAGGCTTTGGTCCCGTGCTCTTCATGAGAAAAAGAAGAAACTTTGCCTCTTATTTGTGGGATAAGTTTTTGAGGCTCTTACCCCATGCGTAGGTTTTTGGGCCCTGAGGCAGGGGATAAGAGTGGCATTTTGGGAAGGACCCCAGTCTCTCCTCTCATGGAAGTCACTTAGACATGGTGGCCAGTCAGACCCTTATAGACCCTATCTTGAGAGCTGGAAGGGTCTTTAGAGAGATCTAATCGAACCATAAAGAAATGGAGTCCCAGATACTCGCCCAAGGCCATCCGATAGATTTCCTCTGCCTAGATTCTTCTGCCCTTCTTGTCTTGCTCTCCCTCAAAGCCTGTGGGGGCCATAAGGAGTTTGGGCCAGTTGGCTTCTCATCTGTCTGGGGACAGGGGAGGGACAGTACACAAGGTCACCGAGCTGGAACTGAAATCTCCTGGCTTTTCTGCCTCTAAGCTCGGGGAGGGATGAAAGGTCTCCCTGGCCACCAGGCAGAGCCAGCTTACATTAGTTGATGATAATGATGAATCATGTTGATGTGATTTGTTTTTGTCAGGATTCGGTGATGCCTTCCCAAGAACCTCAAATAGATGATAAAAACGATGAAGTTGACCTTCCCTCCGAAGAAACTGATGGACGTAGGTATCTTTCCCTCCCATCTTTGAAGCTAGCTCATATTCTGTTGGGCCTTGAAACAGTCTGATATCATAGTTTCATCCTTTCTCCATTAAAAAAAGTCCTTTGTATATGTATAGCCTATATTAGTTTGCGCACCGTCTTGGGGAAGGGAGGTGGGGAAGGAACGGGAGAAAAATTTAAAACTTTGAGCTCATGGAAGTGATTGTTGATAAATCAAAATAAATTAATAAAAAAAGAAATAAAAGCTATTTAAAAGGTATCAATACAAATAAAAAAGAAATTTTAAAAAATTCTTTCTGGATCCTGTCTTGTCTGGACTTAGGAAAGAGGGGAATTTGTCCTCATTGTAGAGAGGAATGACGTGTTTGGGTCAGTGTGTTGGAAACTGGACGTTACAACTCTCTTCTGTGGAACTTCCAAAAAAACATAAAAGAATCCAGTATTGGACAGGTGTTCCGTCACCCTGTCTGGTTAAGAAGCCGGAGTGGGCATTATATGGATCCCAGAAATAGTTCTAATACGTAGAAAAGAGCCACTACCGAGGAGCAGGCTCCCCATGAGCTCTCACCACCATCTGCTGCCTCCCCATCTCCGTTTGCAGCCCAATCCGGGGCGCTTGCCCATAAATCTACCCAACACCATTTTAATGGAGTGTGTCAACTTACCACGTCTTAGGTTCATCTACCAGGTAGTCAGTCAGGGGGCTTCACTTTGAATTTTCAGCATTCTCCGTCCAGAGCCACCAGCTCCTAGTTGATCAGAGGCCCCAAGTTAAGAGTCAGCTTGATGCAAGACTTAAGCAAGCTGTTATAACATCAATCTTGGGGCCAGGGGTCTTTAATGGTTTCCATCTAATGTTGAAAAACTGTCCTCTCTTCATTTTCCTTATTAGTTGCTTATATTCCTTCAACCCGGAAACATGACAGCCTTAAAGATGATTCTGAGGTGAGTTTATTTTTTTCAAATCTCATTAATATTTCTTTAAAAACCTATTGGCAAACGGTAGTTCATGAATAGCTTTAATTCTTTATCTCTCTCCTGGTCATGTGACCCACTTGTATATGATGTATGCTTATCCTCCTATCTCACTGTTTTTAAATGCTTTTATTAATTTTTTAAAATTTAAATTTAAAAAAAAGTTTAAATTTTCAAAATTTAAAAATTTTAAATTTTATGTCACCTAGATATCTCATTATAGCTTAGGCTTTTATGAGTTTAGATTTTGTTTTCCCCTTTGCCATTCTTGAACTTCCTGTTATGATGCTGTCCCTCCTTGAGTGCCAGCCTCCACCTCCTCCCATTGCTAGCGGGACGGGATACAGGAGGACTTGACCTGCTGTATGTGAGCCAGAGAAACAGCCTGCCCGGGCTGGGCCTCACTCTTTTCTCAAGGACAGCCCTGTGGGCTTGGATGGAGAGGGGAGGACAAACTGACAGCTGGTGCTTGGCATGGCCTCCATATGACGCATCTCCCCAAAAGGACCAGCTGCTGTCCTGCCCGTCCTATGCTGAGTCTGTGTTTTACAGTCCCCTCTCCTGATAGATGCTACAAAACGCCTTGAGTCTGGAGGCCCTTGAATCTGACCCGCCTTTGCAGCTCCTAACCAGAGTTAGGAGGCCTTGGAGGCCTCTTATTTTACTGACAGAGCACCCAAAGTTCAAAGTGCAGGTGATTTACCTACGTCCTACCGTAGCTCCAGAGCTAAAAGGGACTTTGTTGTTGTTTAGTCGTTTTAATCCTATACAATTCTTTACAACCCCATTTGGGGTTTTCTTAGCAAAGATACTGGAGTGCTTTGCCATTTCCTTCTCTAGCTCGTTTTACAGATGAGGAAACTGAGGCCAACAGGGTGAAATCTTTTTATTGCCCATGGTCACAGAGCTAGTAAGTATCTGAGGCTGGATTGGAATTCAGGTCTTCCTGACTTCACGCCCAGCGCTTTATGCACTATGGCACCACCTAGCAGCCCCAAGAACAACTTTAGAGTCCAGCTACTCCAACCCCTGTTTTTACTGAGGAAGAAATTGAGGCTCAAAGAGAGAAACTGATTGCCTCAGGGTCCCATCTAGGTTCCTAGAGTGAGAAGCGGCGTCAGAAGTCAATATCGACCGCCCTCATTTCACGGAAGAGGGAACAGAAGCCCCAGACGGCAAATGACCTGCCCAGGATCACACAGGGATCTTGTCGGAGGCAGGATTCCAACCCAGGACCTTTTCAGAGTCTTGCACTGCCTCGTGGTGACTGTTCCCACCCTTTCTGTAAACATTCCCATTAGGAATGGTGGAGTGGTGCCTCGTCTCTCCTTGATGTCTCTTTGGCACATTGTTTATCCTGATTTTGTTTTAAAATTCTGTTTGTTTATGAACACGTCCCTCACATCCTCCCTCCTTTTGCATCTGTTGGGCTACCCCCAGGCCATCACCCCACTCACTAGACTGACAGCACTCAGCCCGACAGCGGGAGTGAGTCACCATCGATCTTGCCTGCCCTGGAATTTAACCAACACACAATACCCCCTCAGTTCTCTTGAACCCTTGAGAAAAACAGAAGCCAAATAACCAAAATGGGTATTTTGGGGGCTTCCTTCTCTGTTGTCTTTCCTAAAAGAGCTTGGCAAACAACCTCGCTACACCCTAACTCATCTGAAGGAATTCCTGAACAATCCCCTTCTTTCAAGAGTTTGTAGACTCTTAGATTTCAAGCTGGGTGGGACCTTTGAGGTCATCAAGTCTGACCCCTTTGCTTTACAAACTTGGAAACTGAGGCCTGGAGAGGTCAAGTGATTCTCGAGGCTCATAAAGGGTTCCCAGTTTTGTGTAATATCTCAGCTTCACTACTTTCCCCACTAAAAATATCTGCATTATTTATAATGGAGGGGGATGATAGCTGTTAATTAGAGTGCCTTCATTGCTCACAATGATGTCCTCATAACACTTAGCTGGGATTACTGACACAAGTTAGTTAATCCTCTCAGAGAAGACTGAGCAAAGCCCAGTAGACATTGGTGGCAAAGGTAGAAAACAAGGACCGAGCTCCAGGGTCCCCATAACTTGGTCTCTGTGACATACACACACACATACACACACACCCCATTCATCGCTTGGAGGAAATGAGTCAGCCAGCAGGGCTATTGCCTCTGCCTGAGAAGGTCAAGGTCTGACCAATCCTTTCCATGTTCTGTACAAAGAAAGAAGGTTCTTTGTTTGGTTGATGGGTGTGCTCATTAATTGGGCATCTTTCCTCAAGAGTTGTTCAAAACTTCTTTCTGCTTTCTAGCTCAAAGAGAGTAGATGTGGTAATAGAAATGGAATGGAAATTGAGAGTGGAAATAGAATAGAAGGAAGGTAAGCTCCTTGAGGGCAGGACTGGTCTCATTTTTTTGTCCTTGTATCTCCAAGCACAATTCCTAGTCCTAATAAGCACTTACTAAATGCTTGTTGGTGAACAAGTGCACAGATACATCCCTGATCCCTCCCTCCTTCTCAAATAGAATGTAAGCTTCTTGAGGGCAGAGACTTTCATTTTTGTCTGAGAATCCAAAGCCCCTAGTCCAGCGCCATAGTAGGTGCTTCGTGAATGCTTATTGATAGAGAGTAGAATCTAATCAAGAGATACTTTAGTATTAAGGACCAATATTTCTTCAAGAATTTTCATGGAATTGAATGATCTGTATTCACAGCTAATTATGAAAGAGTCAGGGTGAGATTTGAGCTCAGACAGTATGTCCATAGTGGAGTCAGGAAGAACCGGGTTCAGATCCCATCTGTAGACACTGAGCTTCAGCAAGTCTCTCTGTGCCTCAGTTTCCTCATCTGTAAAATGAGGGGATTTTATATGAATGCCTCTTAAGTTCTCTTCTATATGAATGCCTCTTAAGTTCTCTTCTATATGATCACTTAAGCTCTTAACCCTCTAGGCAATTTTTTAATTTATCCTATGGTCTTGGCAGGGGTGCTAGGATTAAAAATTGGTAAGGCCTGAGTCCAAATCCTGACTCCATCAGTCACCAGCTGTGTGACCCTGCACCAGTCCTTTCTAAGCCTCAGGAGGCTCTCCAGGGCTTATGTACTAAGTCATAAACAGATTGGTGGATGGAGTGCCAACCACATGCTGACCATGGCACAGAGCTTTCCTCTCTCTGCCTGGAGAATTGCTGGGTCTTTGATTTGATTCTCTCTTCTGTCTTCCTTTGGGGATGAGGAACATGAGAGTGGAAATGAAGATGAGGGATACTTGAATACTCCTTCCAGAGCAGGGATGGTGTTGTGTACTCTAATGGGTGAAGCATCTTGTTGTGGAAAATGTTCTCTAGCAGAATTACTATCACCTCATTCTCAGAACCTGCCAAATCTTCCCTGTTTTTGTTTTGTTTTTAGGACATTAAGCCAGTTATTGATGGAATGGATGGAATTAAAATATCTCAGGGGCTCGGGCTGCAGGACTTCGATTTAATCAGAGTTATTGGACGGGGAAGTTATGCCAAAGTTCTCTTAGTGCGGTTGAAAAAGAACGACCAGATTTATGCCATGAAGGTAGTCAAAAAGGAGTTGGTCCATGATGATGAAGTAAGTGACTTTAATGGTTTAAAAAAAAAAATTAAAAAAAACCAGGAAATGGGGTCTGGGAAGGGGAAGAGGCCATTGCATAATTTAGCCACTAGAGGGCACATGTTCTAAACCTGGTATGTTGTGGACTTGAGAAACTTGTGGGAGGCAGGCAGCCTAGAGTGGTGATTAAAGCACTGGACTTGGAGTCAGGTACAGTTTGAATCCAACCTCGAAAATGTGCTGACCAGGGGCCAACTACTAAAACTTTGTGTGCTTAGCTATCTATCTGGGAGGGGTAGTTATTACACTCTGTGTGTGTGTGTGTGTGTGTGTGTGTGTGTGTGTGTGTGTGTGTGTCCCAGCTGTTGAAAATAGGACTTGTTTATTTTTGGTTTTCTTGCCACAGGGCTTAGAGAGGCAATGTTGCATAGTGGGTAGAGAGCCAAGGCCTGGCTTCCAAGTCCCAGCTGGCTCTGTGACTTTGGGCAAGTCTCTTAAGCTCTTAGAGTTGCAGAAAAGGTGCCAGTCTACAACAGTAGAGGGAGTTTTCTCACCTGGGAGCTCCCTATATCAAGAAAATCACAGATCCATTCTCTATCCCTAATCTCTGGCACGTAGCAGGTGCTTAATAAACATTTGGTGCTTGAGTGATCTCAGACTTGGGAAAATCTAAATCTGGTCACTGCTGACACTGTGTCAGATGACAGCAGTAGCTTAGAATGTCAGTTTCTGGAGGGCAGGAAGTAAAAATGGGAATCGCATAATAGAGGGCATTATTCGTATATGCCCATGATTTCCACAGTGTGGATGTTCCATCAACTTCTGCGGATCACAACTTTTCCTGTGTGATGCCTGTCCATGTGCCCTAGAGATCCCCAAAGGGGATCCGACTAATATAGTAGAGGCCTTCCTCACTTTCTTCTGACACCTTGCGGGTACCAGTGGAACACTAGCTGTCCTCCCATGGTCCCTGGTTTCTCGTTGCGTGACTAGTCTGGCAGTTACTAGCTGCCTTATGGACGGTTAAATTGAACTGAATTGAATTGAATTGAGTACCTGATCCAGAATCATAGCCATAGGAACTCAGTCCAGTCTACCAATAAGCATTTATTAAGTACCTACTATGTACATACACCCTGTTAAGTGGTGGAGGCACAAAGAAAGGTGTTAGTCCCCACCCTCAAGAGGTCACATTCTGATTGGGTAGACAACATGCAAACAATAGAAAGGGAGATAATCCACAGAGATCATCTCTGACTCCAGAAACGAATGTTTCCACGCCGTCACCCTGCTAGTAAAAGAGTGAGGAGAGACTTCTGTTGTGATCTATGTTGATGGAACAAGTTCTGACCGCCGGGTTCTCTAGTCCTCTCATGGGCCCTTCACGCATTTCCAGGAGTCACTTTTGGAGCTCATCTCATTGTCCATGGTAACACGTGAACCCAGGTCTTCCTGCCTCCAAAACCAATGCTCTTTGCAGTAGACCAAGCTGCCTCTCATAGGATGAATTTTCCAGGAATGAATGGCACAGAAATTCTGGGTTATTGGGGTACTTTAGGGCTGACTTTCACAGGGTTGCAGATCTTAAACTTGACCCTACTTCCTCTTCTTTGCCTTTGCCAAATCCATTTTCACCCATTACTTGGCACATAGTAGGCACTTAATGAATGCTTGTCTCTTTTCTTCCATCCCTATGCTGAGATGCCAAACATCCCCCAGTAATCTTGGAATCCCCACGCCAAGTCCGCAAATGGGTGAAACTCTGGGTTTTTTCCACCTGGTGGAAGACTGCGGAGTTTTCTACTGTCAGTATTATGTATCTCAAAGACCAGCAAAGCTGACTGTGTTCAGCCCATGGACTCTCCCATTGGCTTCTTGAGCTCTCTTTCCTTCTCACCCAAATATTAACAAAAGTCGCGCTAGCTGACATTTCTATTCAGATACTCTGTTGAGGAAGGCACATCTCCTCCAATGATACCGATCACAACCCATTCGTGTTTACCTTTCTTTGTGACCGCAGTCCATGTTCTCCCGTGGTTTTCCCAGAGAGAGTCTATCTCATGCTTGGGGACTTCCAGTTTTACTTACCGTCACAGAGATACCAAAGGAATGTAAGTCTGCCCATTTGTTGCCCTACCTTCTGATATTTCATCCCTGACTCCGTTTCTGCTCTGTAATTCCTCGTTTGTATTGGACCTGTTCACATCCACCCTGGGTGATTTCCCCACCCGACATTTATAGAGGGCTTCGTCTGTCCTAGAGGGTATTACCTACATTATGGCGTCTTAGCCACACATGCAGATCTCAAAGGAGGGATGAATGGCCAGTATCCTTCTCTCCATTGTATAGATGAGGACAGTGAGGCCCAGAGAAGGTCTCCCAGGCTTGTTGTAGTGCTAGTGCTGGTAGTGGTGGTGGTGGTGGTGGTAGTAATACTGGTGGCAGTAGTAGTAGTAGTAGTAGTAGTAGTAGTAATCATAGTCATAGGGTTAGTTAGTATTAGTACTAATAGTAGGTAGTAGTAGTAAGAGCAGGAAGA